AAGCATCTGAGGTCAGATTTAAAATCAGGACTCCAGCCCCAGCACTCTATCCACTGCACCATCTAATCCTAAATGCAGTTAAATTGTAATGAGATATGGTCTTTAACTTTTTGTTATTATTGTTCTAGATCTATGATTTCATTGGTGTAGGGAATTCCCAATGTACTCTGGAGCTCCACCAATATGGATGGGTAACTCATCTGCAAGCAATAGTCAGAGAATTGTCTGTGGTCACGCAGCTATGATGTGTCAAAGACAGGACTTGAATCCAGGTCTCCATGACTCTAAGACAGGCCTTCTAGTCACTATACCACACTGACTCTCATAGTATGTTCAGAATTGATTAGAATTCACTGGAATTGGGTTTTGGGTTTCTAGGTGGCTCAGTGGATAGAGTGCTGGGCCTAGAGTCAGGAAGTCTCATCTTCCTAAGTTCAAATCCACTCTCAGGCACTTACTAGCTATGTAACTCTGGATAAGTCACTTAACCCTGTTTGCCTCAGTTTCCTCATCTGTAAAATAGGCCAGAGAAGGAAATAGCAAACCACTCCAGTATCGTTGCCAAGAAAACCCCAGGTGGAGTCAGGAAGAGTCAGGCACAACTGAAATGATTCAAGAAAACAAAGAATTGGGTCTCACAGTAGACTTCCAGTGGCAAAATGTAACAGCATGGAAACAATGATTGGTATAATTTGGCAAGAAGGCAAGAGAGAGGGAAAGGAGAGGAAAGAAGTAGGAGGGGGAGAGAGAGAAAGAGAATGAATAACAGGATAATAGGTAGAGTTAAGTAACAAACACATTCGCTTATACATGATCTTTGAAGAGATTCTGCTTTGGACTGACTGATCCAGAAAATTCTATCAGAAGCAGACTCATTGCTGGAACCATCAGATAATTGCCTCAATATTTCAATCTGCTTTGCTAATGAAGAGTTGGGTTTCCTGCTTCAGAAGCAGATACTGTTTGTATTTGGGAATTTTGAGGGAAACAGACTAAATTGTGAGGTATTTTGCTTTATTTTTGAAAAGCCAATTCAGGAAATGCCAATCTCATGTGCAAAGGAAAAGGGCATTATAGCTCACAATCTGTGCGGGGCTCAGACTTCTGTTTTCTAAGTCTTACCAAATTCTACAACATTGAAGAAATATTGAAAGATTAGCCACAAGGACATTGCTAACAGAGATAGAGATCCAGCCCCAGAGTCCAGAAGGCCTTTGGCCACCCAGTTGTCTAAGAATGAGTTGTGGAGCAGGTATTGACCTGCGTTGGTGAAAGGAGCTTCCTTACTGGGAATTACTCACACCAGTGAAGATCACAGGTCTGATCTGCATTTAAAACACACACACACACACACACACACACACACACACACACACACACGCACACACAGAGGGAGCCATATAAGTGTACTAAGGGGAGAACTATAATATACTCAGATATTCAATTGTGATTTCAACAGTTTGGATTTCATACTAAGAATGCATTTCGCAGCCCATCCATACCTACCCAATCTGTATACCTCTTGTCTATTTCCTGCCATAATTTTGCCGCAGGCTATTTGCCCAGCCTGCTTTTGTAATTAACCACAAATCATGAAACATAATACAATTTGTCAGGAAAAGCCCCATGGGCCTAACACAGTAATCAAACTCATCATTTGCTACCATGGCCCTTGACATATCAGAGTGGTTGGTTACTGAAAATCTTACATTCAGTTTCATCCTTTTGGTCAATTACATATTTTTAAATGTAAAAGGAAAGCATTCTGAAAAACTCATTTATTTTGACCCTTTGTAACCGGTGAGTCAGTCTCATTTTAGCAATGACCATTCACTCTCTTGTGTTAACAGATGAACACTTGTCCTTTCATATCGTTTGCTCTAGAGTCCAGAGTAATCATGTCCTTTCCTACCCACTCTGCAGGAGGATGCATGCACATGAAATGCCCTCAGCCTCAGTGCAAGTTTGAATGGTGCTGGAACTGTAGCCTAGAATGGAACCGAAGCTGCATGGGAGACCACTGGTTTGACGTGTAACTCAGTAACAAAAAAGCAGGGACAAGCTTCACCAACTACCCTGAGAGAACTGGTAACATCCCAGTTGGTCCACTGGCCCCTTGTCATTTTAATGTTCTTCTTTTTCACATGAACAAAAAGAATTTAACGTTACACTTCTTCCAAAATTCACTCGAGACAAATTATAGTAAAAAACCATTTTCAGATCTCATTTTAGACACTGTTTTAGAACCCTGTGAATTGGAGCATGGCTACATGTAAGACACTTAAATGTTGTTTACCAACCTGTGTAATGCATAGGTACAACAGGGTAGATTCCAAGTGGAGTTTAAGGATTAACTGTGGATTACCTGTCTTCTGTGAATTTAAGACAGACTTGAATTGCCATATGAATTCAGCTCTCTCAGGTTTCATTTTGTATACTTGACTTAGAGTTTTAAAAAAATTATTGTTAAATGAGTCACTGGAATAATGTGAAGAGATCTTTTGTGGCTCATTGTCAGTAGGTCTGTTTTAGATTGATTAAGTGGTTAACCTTTTTTTTTTAAATGTGGGTCACAGCTTCAATACTAATATCTCCATTTAAATTTTCACAATACCATAGGCAGAAGCCAAAATTTTATTGGGGCAAATTTTTGCTTCTTTTTGAAAATAAGCCCAATTGATAATCTTAAATTGTATTGATTAGATTGTAGCTAAGCATAATTCACCATATCAAATGAATGGGAAATTGGGAAAGCTTCATTTGAATTTTGAAATGCTTAAATTATGGGGAATTAATTTGAAATTAATTGGAATTAATTGAAACCTAGTATGCTCCTATAGCATCTTGTTGATTATCATCTTAGAAAAAAAATGTTCTCAATTTTTTTAGGAATGTCAAATTTTAATTTAAAAAATAGGCATTTCTGAGCTTGAGAACTTTTCTAACAGTTTGGATCCATTGTGAAATTTAATAGAGATGCTAAATCATAAAATTAGGTGCCTGTTATAGTAACATGATAGAAATCAATTAGTAGTGGTGCTCAATGTTAATTAAAAGAACGTATTGTTAAACCAGAATGTTTATAAATATTAGCATTCCTGGGTCTACACATAATACCCACCTAAATCTCTGGCAGGAAAGATTTGTAATTAAGGGAAATAATATGTACCTAGTATGTTAGCTTAGCACCTCTACTAATGCCCTATTGGTTTGGAAAACTACTGTTTTCCAAATGTGCGGAGCCCAGGAAGGTCTATGAGCATCCAGTGGTATTTGTATTTTCCCAGGGATATTTATTTTAAAGATGTGATACGCTAAAAATCCAGTCAGCACGTTTAAAATATGATCTGATGACAGCGCTTGAATATTGATGGATGTTTGAACCTCATTTGGTGTAGCAGTAACAGGCAAGAAATGTATAAGGACATGTTCATTTTTGTTAATTCTGTTAAATTCATAATAAAAAAAAAAGAAAAAATTTTAAAGTAATAGTTTTAGTAATAGTTATAGTTTTGCTTTTTAAAGTAATACTTCTCCAGTAACAAAGATTTGTACCACATGCACCAAAGAAGAATTCTTTCAACATGGTTCTTAAGTGAAAAAGTATTACTCTCCTGAATCGCTACTGTCTTTAGATGAGTCATTTGACTGTATTCTGTGGAAGAACATTAGAGAAACTGGTAATATCATAAGTTTAATCAATACGTGAATCTATTAATGATGTTTTAGGGTCCTTAGTAACTTAAATCTATAATATAACTTTTGTTTTAATCCATTTTTTTTGTTTTAGTCCAAAATGTTTTAATCCATCCATCCTTAAAGCCATGAGGCTTTAAAGACCTGTTAGAAGAAAGTTTAGTCTGAGAAGGACAGACCCAGGGGCATACCATAGTACTTCTGGCCCCACCTACTCCCACCTTAACATATCAGCTTCTTTTCCTATTTCCTCCTGACTCTATCTTGCCTTGACTTTCATCTCTAGGGATGTCGTAGACACTATAGGGCAAAGAGAGTTATACAGTCATAGTATAAGAGCAGAGGTGCCTTGAACACCTCCTCTGGGCCTTGCACTCATGGCAAAAACCACTGGGAGCTCATCTTATGACCCTGAGGGTGCCAAATCTGCAATTCTGTACCCTGGTCAGGAAGCTGGGAAAACCCAATGAAATATCCCAATGAGAAATGAAAGAGTCACAAAGTTACTTCCTACAGGTCATGAGTCAATAACATCCTAGTGGTGACTCAGAAATCCCCTCACTGTCATGGAGCCCAAGTAAGACTTCTTAGGTAAGAATGGAAGTTGAATAAGGGATGACCAGCTCTCCTACAATCAGCAGCCCCTGACTGGTGACCTCATGTGAATGCAGTTGTGGCAAGGTCGAAGGCAAACTCATCTCTTTCAGTCATTTGGCCTAATGCAGACTCCTTGATCATCTGGCTATCTTGTTTTTCTTGATTATTAATGGCCACCTGCTTCCAAATGTGTGATGTTTGGGTTTAGGAGATTTCATTAGCTATTACTTACACAGGGTTAGTCCCATTGCATCTATATCCTAAATTGTTTTGCTTTATGAGATAATTATATAATATAATATTTTATTATCTGCTTTTTTGGGGTGACAGCTATTTTTTGTCCAGAAATGAAAAATGGGTCTGAGTTATTAAAAGCCAGAAGAAAAAAAAAACCCAACCAATGAATGTATTATAAGTGATATTATCTTTACATCACATCAACAATAAACATGAAATGTGTATCAAGGTTCTCAACACATCACAAAGGACAGAAATAAAAGTTCTTCACAAAAGTATCTTTGTTTTCTATGCGGCACCTAAATCTGTCCTTCAGTGCACCAGCAAAAATAATCAGCAACATGCTTGTAACTTCATTTGATGAGGTATTTTCAATAAATGTTGAAAACGCGGTTGGGGAAGTGTGTCGTGTTTTGTCCAGTGAGCCAAGCTCCCATCCTAGAAGAATTATTTGGTAATTCAGTGGCTGGTTTTCAGATGTGTAGAGCTGAGTCCCAGAATAGTTCTGCTTGCTCTACTGTGGTTTTGGAGAGAGCGCTGTCACAATACAAAAGGGTAGTTATAAAAAGCCAACATTTATTTAAAAACCTGGCTGTGTGCTTTTTATCTCTGCTAATAAACTTCCCTAAAAAGCTAAAAACTGACACTCTGGTTTGAGGGAAAGGTTGGCCTTTGGCACCGAATGTTTCTGCCTTTCAAAGTCATCTCAATGAAAGTCACTGATATTTGCATTGCTATTATTCGCCTGGAAAGTGTATTTACACTGCTGTTTGTTTAGAATGAGCCAAAAAAAAAATCCACGATTACAGAATCTCAGTTTTAGAAGGAACTTCAAAACCCATCTAATCCAAAGGAACCTGAACAAGAATGTCTTATAACCAAGTTCTGTTAGAAGGAATACTAGAAATGTGAGGAAAGGCCCATTTGCCTATTTGAAGATAAATATGTACTTCACCCATCTTTGAATGGGAAAATGTCTTCTTATATAAATAAATAAGTATGTATACATGTATGTGTATACACACATGTGTATGTACTTAAGCATACATGTACATATATGGGTACATGTATGCATGCACATGTACATGCAAGGCTCAAAGTCTTGGTGTCATTTTAAGGTTTAATATCTTTATGAATATAATAACATATATGTACATACATCCTAGTGTATGTATATATGTATGTATGTTTCCTGACATGGACTGGCCATATCTCCTGTCTACCAGTTCATTGCTATGAATGCCTATGAATGGCATTCAAAGAAATTAAGTTAATACTCCCTGAGGTTTCCTATTGTTTTGTATTAAATATGGAGGTCTGTACACACATACTATGATAGTGTATGGGTGGGTGGACTGATTATATTAAATATGAAGCTACTACTTTGGAACTAACTTCATGCTAGAAGCTTCATGGAAGAAAAGAGATTTTTAGCAGTAATTTAAAAAACAGAAATAAAGTTTCGGTAGTATAGGAGGGAGACATCTGTCTAGTGACTGGAATGAGATGTTATCAGTATTAATGTAAATCAGTGCAGTGATGTAGAACTTTTTAGGCAGAAGAAAGAAAGTACCAGAACGTGTAACTAAATCTGACTGAAACATTTCAAAGAAGATTGAAGATCAATAGACTTGAAGCCAGAAGACCTAGATTTGAATCTGTTCTCTGCTACTTGGTGCCTATGTGATCTTTAATAATTATAGAAATAACACCAAGAGCTACAGGGAACAAAAAGTTTTTAAAAAGTAGAGACCTAGTCAAGGAAATCAAAATCACATGGGGCTGGAATGAGATCTGCTCCATCCCCATTATCCTGTCTGCTACTGGAATTATAATTTTTTATACTTTCAGTGGGCCTGCAGAAAGTGAGCTTATATCTTAATAATTTTATTCAGCTTCAGAAAGTAGTTATTTTATCCATCTATGCAATAGATGGTGGTGAGAACAGAGTAATGACACCTGAGTTAGGGGTACTTGGGTTCAAGGTGATGCAGTGGATAGAGCACTGGATCTTCTCTTCTGGCTTCAGACACTTACTAGCTGTATGACCCTGGGCAAGTCACTTAACCCTGTTTGCCTCCATTCCTCATCTGTAAAAATGAAACAGAGAAAGAAATGGCAAGCCACTACAGTATCTTTGCCAAGAAAACCTCAAATGGGGTCACAAAAAGCCAGGCATGACTGAAAATGACTGAACAACAATAACAATTTACCTCAGACACTAGCTGTATGACTCTGGGCAAGTCACTCAACCTCAGTCTGCCTCAGTTTCCTCAATTGTAAAATGAGGATAATGATAGCACCTACCTGCCAGGATTATTTTGAGAATCCAATAAGATTAAATGCTTGTGAAGCCCTTTGCAGTCTTAAAGCACTATGTAAATGGTAGCTATTAGCATTATTATAAAACAATAATACCAGGATAGCAACTTGTCTGAACCCAGTCAAAAAACAAAGGAACAACAACATAGAAATAATAACAGTCTCATATATTGCTTTGGATCCTCACAACCCTTATCATTATTATTATTATTATTATTATTATTATTATTATTATTATTATTATTCCCAGCTCACAGATGAAGAAACTAGGAACTAAAGAGCTAGTGACTTCCCCAGGATCCCATAACAAGGAAGTATCTGGTGTGAGATTTGAATCCCCAGATGTTAGTTTCAGAACTACTACCTCCACACAAGCTCTTAACTTAGACATCAGTTTTATCATCTTTTTGTTTTGTTTTGTTTTATTAAATTAATTTATTTTTAGTTTTCAACATTCACTTGCGTAAGGTTTTGAGTTTTAAATTTTCTCCCTTTCCTTCCCTCTCCCCTCCCCAAGATGGCATTCAATCTGATATAGGCTCTATATATGCATTCATATTAAACACATTTTCACATTAGTCAAGTTATCTTTAAAATAATGATTTTGGATTAAATAATCTGTAAATTGACCTCTGTGTCTGCATCCTGTGTTATTCTATGATTATAATGAAAATAGTCAATGAATTAATAGGTTGCATGTCACCCAAACAATCCCAGCTTTGCAGGAGGTTTCATAAATCAAGTCCTACAAATGGAGAGAAATGTCATTTTTCAATTAACTGAGGATAAGCATTTTGCTTCCATTTCCAGATATTAAGTTTAAATCCCTGAAAAAAATTCATTTCATCTCCTTCTAGTATTTATCTTGATGATTCCAGACCCCAGCCTGAAAATCTCTGAGTAATATTCCCATGACACTTTGAACACTACATAGTACAACTTTACAGCATCTTTACGATTTTTCTTAAACTGTTCTGAGTATTTCTAAAATAATGCTAGGACATAGGGAGGTGGTGGTGTACTTTTTAAAGGAAGCTGCTACAAATACATTTAAACGGGGTTGGGGGTGGGTGTTCAGAGGCCTTACCCAATAATAACAAATTAGAGCAAAGTTACAAATCTACATTTGGTTCCCTGAATGAGGAGGACTGTTCAACGTGGCCTTCTGTATCCCAGGAGAAGCTAGAAAAGAAATCTTTTGAAACCCAGTGTTTTGCTTCTGACCCCTTTCTACTGAGGAAAAATGTGAATCAAAAGCACAAATACAATTTTAATCAAATGCATTAAAATAAGTTCTGAGGGAATGCTGTCCATCTAGGTGATTGAGTGGATAGAGCAGTGGACCTGGAGGCAGAAAGACCTTCATTCAAATCCAGCCCCGGATACTTACTAGCTATGTGACCTTTATTTATTCTATCTACCTCAGTTTTTTCAACCCCATATAGTTGGTGCTTAATAAATGCTTATTTCTTTCTTTCCTTGTAATTTATTTTTTATTTTATTTTATGGAATAAAACAAGTATTTCTATAACATAGTACAATACAAAAGATAATTGCCTTCCTTCCATCTTTCCTTCCTTCTTTCTTTCTTTCTTTCTTTCTTTCTTCTTTCTTTCTTTCTTTCTTTCTTTCTTTTTCTTTCTTTCTTTCTTTCTTTCTTTCTTTCTTTCTTTCTTTCTTTCTTTCTTTCTTTCTTTCTTTCTTTTTCTTTCTTTCTCTCTCTTTCTTTCCTTCCTTCCTTCCTTCCTCAACATGAAGCACACAGCAAAGAGGATTTAAACAGGGACCAGTCTTCACAGTATGACATCTTACTTTTGTTTAAATGGAACCTTGGAAAACAATATTCCAACTTTAACAATGTGAATGGAAGGAACAAAAAAAAAAAGCCCTGAACACTTTAATTATAATGACCAAGCTTGCCCTGAAGAAAAGAGGAAAAAAGTCACCTCCCTACAGCCTTCATTGCAGAGGTAGGGAACTTTGGATGTGAAACATTATATTTACTGTCTGTCTCAGTTGGTGTGTTGGTCAGTTTTGCTGAATTGCTTTCATATTTTTCTTTCTCTTTTTTTAGCATTTATTTTAAAGAATGACTTCTTTGTCAGGGGACAGGTAGGGGAGGAGAAGGAAATGTAATGATGATGATGATAGCAGCTAGTATTTACATAGTACTTCAAGGTTTGCAGAGCATTTAACACACATTATCTCATTTGGTGTTCATAACAGTCTTGTAAGGTAAGTGCTATTTTTCCCACATTTTACAAATGAGGAAACTGAGTCTGAAAATACTTAAAGCAAATGCCTAGAGTTGTACAACTAGCAGGCGTCCGAGGTAGCTCTAACTCCAGAAGACATCAATAAAAATTAAAATTAAAATTAAAAAGCAACAGAATGAACTCAAGTTAAGAGGATGTGTGAAGCTGACACTCATATTTAAATGAAAAAGAAAGGACATGCCAAAATCAATATAAATGGCTTGGATTATCATCCTATAACAGAGAGTTTACTGTGCATCAGTTAGATGAAATGACATATCTGTGATGAGAAACAAAAACAAATCAAATCAATTAAACAAAAAACAATTAAGGCTTTTATCAGTACCCAGGGAGCAAAAAAGCCTGGACAAGGGACCTTATGTTGAAATCTGGGCCAGTAAGCAAACAAAGCTGTGACCCCCAGGGGCAACATCAGAAAATGCAAAAATTGGCTGGAGAGAGGAAAAATCTGAGTGAACAGCTCATCCTGTGGGTCTCGATGCTTCAAGGATACCATTCAACCTCCTCTCTGTATTTCAGTAAACAAGATCAATCTTTTCTTCTTCAATGTCATTGCCGTCTGACCACTTAAAATGAACCGAACTCTGGGAAGCAGGGCATCGGGTATTTATGGTGGCTGTTTAACTTGTGGGGATTAAAAGTGCTCTCCATTAAAGATGTTGTCACGTTTGTCTTTGAAAAAGCATTTGAACAGATGCTTACGTGAGTTAACACTGCAATCAGTCATTTTATTTTTAGAGTGTTCACGCCCTCAAGCATCCCGGGGAGTGCTGCAGCCTTGATTGTCAATGAATAATGCTAAATGGAATAGTGCTCTGCAACAAAAAAATTTTTGAAAGCAGAATAATTCAAAATAACATTTAGTCTTGCCAGCTGGTGAGGCTGTGGGATTAAACTCCCTGGGTGGAACCTGTTCTCATTCACCTGTGTGAGCTGAAC